TTTATTGTGTAAGATGATTTCTAAGCATAATGATTCATTGTGTAAGATGATTTCTAAGCATAATGATTCATTGTGTAAGATAATTTCTAAGCATACTGATTTATTGTGTAAGATGATTTCTACATTATGATTTATTGTGTATGGTGATTTCTAAGCATAATGATTCATTGTGTAAGGTGATTTCTAAGCATAATGATTCATTGTGTAAGGTGACTTCTAAGCATAATGATTCATTGTGTAAGATGATTTCTAAGAATAATGATTCATTGTGTAAGATGATTTCTACTTCTACTTCAAAATGATTTATTGTGTAAGATGATTTCTAAGCATAATGATTCATTGTGTAAGATGATTTCTAAGCATAATGATTCATTGTGTAAGGTGACTTCTAAGCATAATGATTCATTGTGAAAGATGATTTCTAAGCATAATGATTCATTGTGCAAGATGATTTCTACTTCTACTTCATAATGATTTTTTGTGTAAGATGATTTCTAAGCATAATGATTCATTGTGTAAGATGATTTCTAAGCATAATGATTCATTGTGTAAGATAATTTCTAAGCATAATGATTCATTGTGTAAGATTATTTTTAAGCATAATGATTCATTGTGTAAGATAATTTCTAAGCATAATGATTTATTGTGTAAGATGATTTGTAAGCATAATGATTCATTGTGTAAGATGATTTCTAAGCATAATGATTCATTGTGTAAGGTGACTTCTAAGCATAATGATTCATTGTGTAAGATGATTTCTAAGCATAATGATTCATTGTGTAAGATGATTTCTACTTCTACTTCATAATGATTTATTGTGTAAGATGATTTCTATGCATAATGATTCATTGTGTAAGATGATTTCTAAGCATACTGATTCATTTTGAAGATGATTTCTAAGCATAATGATTTATTGTGTATGGTGATTTCTACATTATGATTTATTGTGTATGGTGATTTCTAAGCATAATGATTCATTGTGTAAGATGATTTCTAAGCATAATGATTTATAATGTAAGATGATTTCTAAGCATGCTGATTTATTGTGTAAAATGATTTCTACATTATGATTTATTGTGTAAGATGATTTCTAAGCATGATGATTTATTGTGTATGGTGATTTCAAAGCATAATGATTTATTGTGTAAGATGATTTCTACATTATGATTTATTGTGTATGGTGACTTCTAAGCATAATGATTCATTGTGTATGGTGATTTCTAAGCATAATGATTCATTGTGTAAGATGATTTCTAAGCATAATGATTTATTGTGTAAGATGACTTCTAAGCATAATAATTCATTGTGTAAGATGATTTCTAAGCATAATGATTCATTGTGTAAGATGATTTCTAAGCATAATGATTTATTGTGTAAGATGATTTCTAAGAATGATTTATTGTGTATAGTGATTTCTACATTATGATTTATTGTGTATGGTGATTTCTAAGCATAATAATTTATTGTGTAAGATGATTTCTAAGCATAATGATTTATTGTGTAAGATGATTTCTAAGCATAATGAGTTATTGTGTAAGATGATTTCTAAGCATAATGATTTATTGTGTATGATGATTTCTAAGCATAATGATTTATTGTGTAAGATGATTTCTAAGCATAATGATTTATTGTGTAAGATGATTTCTAAGCATAATGATTCATTGTGTAAGATGATTTCTAAGCATAATGATTTATTGTGTATGGTGATTTCTAAGCATAATGATTTATTGTGTATGATGATTTCTAAGCATGATGATTCAGTATGATATATATGGTTTCTATCACTGCATAGAACTGACAAAAGTTTAAATACCTTGAACAAGAGATGACTCTGTGGAAATGTTTCATTTGGTTTGCAATAAGTCACAATAGCAAATTCAGAGAAAAGTAAGAACATTTAAAGTCTTAATTAAATTTTGACCAAAATATGCAATGAAGAAATGATGTAATATATACAAACCATGAATAACATCTTTCCCGTAGCTTTCTTGAACACAACAGCTGGAGTTCCTGCAGGGGCTACAAATGCACAGGCAGGAGGGACGGTCAAACACCACTGAACTGACCATTTGTGTCTGTTGTCAGGATACTAATTAATATGAAATCACATTAATTATGTTTAACAATTTACATATAATCAGAAATTTCTTCACAATCTAAGGTGTGAATCTAATATTGCAATTAAAATGATTTGATGAAAAAAAAATTCAGTGATAAAAATATAAACTTTAACCTTTATTTTCCCCTAAGAAGACACAATTTAGTTTCAACACCTGATTATTTTATACAAAAATTATTCTAAAATCTAAAATAGAATTGACCAGTTTCAAGAAGACTTAAAATTGGTTTAAGTTTGGGATTTGGACCACCTAATGACCTCTAGATGTTAAACACTGGTTGCTATGCATTATTGGATTGCTGTGTCCTTGAATTTTTAGCGAAAACACTTATTTTCTTCATGTTTGATACTAACAAAATCTGTTTTATGTAAATGAAGATACATTGATAACCATAAAAGATGTTACTGGTTGTTATGTGTTATTGGGTTTCTGTGTTCTTGACATTTATCAGATATATTGTTTAGCACATAAGATGAACACTTTACTCACCAGTTCCATTCTCATAATTTCAATGCAATCTTTGAGAACTCTGATAGGTGTTCCAATCAACCTGCAGAAAGCCCTGACTGTGTTCAGTTTGAAAGGAGGGCAAGCAATCTAAAATAAAATAAAATAATGCATGATAGCTCTATATAACGTGGCTCCTCCTGCTGGTAAAATAAGAAATACCAAATGTACATAACGATTGATTATGGCATCCTAAACAAGATTTTAATAAGAATCAGTTTCTACAACTGCACTCAGGCGTTTCCACATTTCTACTCTATCGACAGTTAAAATTTAAAACATTTAAAATGTTTAAAATGCTCCACAAGTCTTGGAAAAATATAATTTGTATCATAAAAGGTATTGTAGTAAAATCTGTGTTTATCCTGCAAATGGTGTCACTTCAATGCAATCCTATAACTCCTGCAAAAATTGTCAAAAAATCAAAATGACAAACAGTATGGTCAACTTCACTAGATGACAGACAATCCTAGCAAGTATGAAAGCTTTATAGCAAACAATATCATTGAAGTTGCATTCACAAGGTGCAAACATTGTCGAATCAAAATGACAGTATAGTAAGGTCAACTACACATGATGATCAAGAGTGCACACGCTGAAAGGTCTCACCTGCTTTACTGACCATTGATTTTATGTTGATAGTTCTAAATATAAAGCTTTACTACAAGTATCAAATAAATTTAACAAGATACAAGAATATGAGGTCAAGGTCAGATAAACCAAACCGGAAATACAGGTACACCTTACAATCACCAAATATAGTTGACCTATAGCTTATAGTTTCTAAGAATCAAACTAAACCAGGAAAACTTAACATTGACCAATAAACCATGAAAATAAGGTCAAGGTCAGATGATACCTGCCAGACAGACCTATACACCTTCCATAAACCAAATATACTTGACCTATTGCTTATTGTTTAAGAAAATCAGACCAAAACACAAAAACTTAGCACAGAGCAATGAACCGTGAAAATGAGGTCAAGGTCAAATAAAACCTGCAAGCTTGACATGTACATCGTAAAATATTTCCATACACCAAATATAGGTGACCTATTGCATATATTATTAGAAAAAAAGACCAAAACACAGAAACTTAACTTTAACCAGTGAACCATGAAAATGAGGTCAAGGTAAGATGACACCTGCCAGTTGAACATGTACACCATACAATCATTCCATACACCAAATATAGTAGACCTATTGCTTATAATATCTGATATATGGACTTGACCACGAAAAATTAACCTTGTTCACCGATTCATGAAATAAGGTGGAGGTCATATGAAAACTGTCTAGACAGGCATGAGGACCTTGCAAGGTACGCACATACTAAATATAGTTATCCCATTACTCATAATGAGAAAGAAATTAACATTACAAAAAATCTTTACTTTTTTTTCAAGTAGTCACTGAACCACGAAAATGAGGTCAAGGACAATGGACATATGACAGATGGAAACTTCATTTCATAAGGCATCTACATATAAAGAAGGAAGCATCCAAGTCTTCCATCTTCTGAAATATATAGCTTTTAAGTAGTTAGTTAACGCCTCCACAGCCTTATAACTATACCTATGTCGAGCTTTCTGCGACAATGTTGCAGGCTCGACAAAAACGATTCTATCAAGTATGAAAGCTTACTGGAAAATAGCCTGATTTGCATTCACAAGGTGTCATTTGTACCAATAGTAAATGTTGAGAGTCCTATAACTCCTGCAAAAATTGTCAAATCACTATGACTGTAAAGTCAAGAGGATGTGGCGACAAAAGATCCTGCAAATTATGAAATCTATAAGGCAAATGGTCTCATAAAATTATATATTTCAGATGATGAGGATGATTACTATGCAGTGCAAGCCCAAGAGAACAATAACACCATCAGCTTACAAAATAAGGGACAGATACACATGACACAATGTGTTTACAATGCAGCTGATAATAAGTTTCTCGGCTTATTCTTATTGTAACTAAAACTTACCTTTAGTTCAAAGAACTGTTGTACAACCTCCAACACCTCAGCAGGCCAATGTTCTCTTAAATCTAAAAAATAAATGTGTCCAGTGTGACAAGAACTTTGAACATATGTTAGTCAGTAGATTAATCATGTACAAATTTGCTTTATTATAATCCATGCAAAAATCCATTTTATTCCAGCGATAAAATGCATTTGTTAGTTCGCTAATTTTTCTGAAAAATCTTGCTTGATTTGTCCCCTACTAGCAACATGCGTACATTTCATTCAGGATGATTTGCGATATTCTTGTAAAAAACTATATAACTTTTTGAAAAATATTCAGAAGTATTAACAATTAACTACAATTCTTGACAATTTTATTTTCCGTCATATGAATGAAATAATATAAATAATTTATAATAAAATGCTCCGCAGGGTGCAGCTTGATACGACCGCAGAGGTCGAACCCTGAACAGTTGGGGGAAGTATGGACACAACATTCAAGCTTGATACAGCTTTGGATTTGGATTGTGATTAAATATTTGACACAGCATAGGTTTCTAACACAGATTGAATGTGGTCTAAGAACTTAAAAATTTTAAATTGGACATTCACCTATTATGGTCCAATATCCAAAATCTAAATACATGGTTAGATTCAGCATATCAAAGAACCCCAAGAATTCAATTTTTGATGAAATCAAACAAAGTTTAATTTTGGACCCTTTTGACCTCAATGTGGACAAAGTTGATAACGGGGCCCAAAAATCAAAAATCTAAATACATGGTTAGACTCAGCATATCAAAGAACCCCATATATTCAATTTTTGTTGAAATCAAACAAAGTTTAATTTTGGACCCCGATTTGGATCAACTTGAAAACTGGGCCCATAATCAAAAATCTAAATACATGTTTAGATTCAGCATATCAAAGAACCCTAAGAATTCAATTTTTGTTAAAATCAAACTAAGTTTAATTTTGGACCCTTTGGACCTTAATGTAGACCAATTTGAAAACGGAACCAAAAATTAAGAATCTAAATACACGGTTAGATTCGGCATATCAAAGAACCCCAATAATTCAATTTTTGATGAAATCAAACAAAGTTTAATTTTGGACCCTTTTGACCTCAATGTGGACAAAGTTGATAACGGGGCCCAAAAATCAAAAATCTAAATACATGGTTAGATTCAGCATATCAAAGAACCCCATATATTCAATTTTTGTTGAAATCAAACAAAGTTTAATTTTGGACCCCGATTTGGACCAACTTGAAAACTGGGCCCATAATCAAAAATCTAAATACATGTTTAGATTCAGCATATCAAAGAACCCTAAGAATTCAATTTTTGTTAAAATCAAACTAAGTTTAATTTTGGACCCTTTGGACCTTAATGTAGACCAATTTGAAAACGGAACCAAAATTTAAGAATCTAAATACACAGTTAGATTCGGCATATCAAAGAACCCCAATAATTAAATTTTTGATGAAATCAAACAAAGTTTAATTTTGGACCCTTTGGACCTCAATGTGGACCAATATAAAAACGGGGCCCAAAATCCAAAAACTAAATACACGGTTAGATTCAGCATATTAAAGAACCCCATGAAATCAAGAATAAAACCCCATTGAAATTGGTCAAGAAATAAGCAATTTATAGGAAGTATCTTCTTTTGCACAATCCTGTGCTATTAAATATTTCTTGCTATTGCGCAATACTGTACAATTGACAATTTCTTGCTATTGCGCAATATTGTGCTATTGGATATTTCTTGCTATTGCGCAATACTGTGCAATTGAAGATTTCTTGCTATTGCGCAATACTGTGCAATTGAAGATTTCTTGCTATTGTGCAATACTGTGCAATTGAAAATTTCTTGCTATTGCACAATACTTATTATATAATAATTTACACATCCTGTTTGGTGTGTATCTCCTACCATATCATTATTATTTGATTTTAAATATAAATCAGAAATAACCAACTTAAAATGGAAAATTTTAAAAGAAACAAAAAAGGAAAAAAAGAAAAAAAGGAAAAAAAAAATAAATCCCCCCCCAAAATTTTTTGAACCCCCATTATGATTCATCACCCCCAAACTCAATACCAGCCTTCCCTTTGTGGTATGGTACCTTGCAGTACAATTTCAGAGAGATCCATACACTTGAACACAAGTTATTGTCTGGAAACTAGAAAAAAATGTGTTTTTTGGCCCCTTTTTGGCCCCAAATTCCTAAACGTTTAGGGCAATTACCCCCAAACTCAAACCCAGCTTTCCCTTTGTGATATGGAACCTTGTAGTACAATTTCAGAAAGATCCATACACTTACACACAAGTTATTGTCATGAAACTAGAAAAATGCTTGTTTTTTGCCCCTTTTTTGGCCCCTAATTCCTAAAATTTGGAGGCAATTACCCCCAAAATCAATCCCAGCATTCCTTTAGTGATATGGAACCTTGTGGTACAATGTCAGAGAGATCCATACACTAACACACAAGTTATGTCTGGAAGTTACAAAAATGCTTATTTTTGGCCCCTTTTTGGCCCCTAATTCCTTTACTGTTATTACCATAACCCCCAAAATCAATCCCAACCTTCCTTTTGTGGTATTGAACCTTGTGGTAAAATTTCATAAAGATCCATTCACTTAAACTAAAGTTAGAGTGCGAAAACCAAGTGTCTTCGGACGACGCCGGACGACGACGACGCCAACGTCATACCAATATACGACCACAAAAATTTTTTTGCGGTCGTATAAAAAATTATTAAACTTATTTCATGTTTTAAAACTTAAAAGCAAACAATTTTATATGAAACAGTTTGAGTATCTATAATTGAAGGTGTTCCTAATTTAAGGAAACTCATACATAGATGTTAACTACTAGTACAAATTGTCTCCCTTACTATATCATGTTTATCTAAGTGTGACTTGGTCAGGGGTCTAGCCCACAACCTCCCACATTCAAGACAAGAACACTACCACAAGACCATGAAACGGTTTTGTGCTCAGGAGGTATTAAGAGAACAAAAATCAATCAATCTGTTTGTTTAAGACTGTTGTCTTTCCATTTTGATTTTTACAATAAATATCAGGATATGTCATACAGTATATTGGATTATTTTGGTGTCTTTTTTTTGTCCACTATTTTGGCCTTTGATGGGGCATTTAGATCTTCCCTGTGTTCATCATTTGTGTATCATGGTCTTGAACAATACATTTAAATTAACAGGGTAATGTTAACGTAGGATAAATTTTGCAGAAAAAAGGCTACAGTAAATATAGCAAAAATTAAGACACACACGAATATTTCCTGATATACTGTATTGTTTTATGAGGATATGTCCCATAATTTAACGTTTTCAAATTACCTGGAGTGGATTGAACATTCAAATGTATACTCTGGAAGCTATTCATATTATAACTAACTCTAAACTGTAGGATCTCTGTCTTGAACTGGATAACATGTGGCTGGGTACCTTGAACTGGAACTGTTACTAGCTAGAATATATAATATACATGTACCAGGCTTAAATATTAAATTATTTGTGGATCTAAATCTGAAACCATATTACATGGCTAAGTGATTTCAGCTAATAGTGAGAGCTGATGTTAAATGTGGTAAACTCAGAAATTAATGTGTGCATTCATTAATGCAAATAACTGATTACTTGTAAAAATGGAATCTTTAATTAATGCAAATAACTGATTACTTGTAAAAATGGAATCTTTAATTAATGCAAATAACTGATTACTTGTAAAAATGGAATCTTTAATTAATGCAAATAACTGATTACTTGTAAAAATGGAATCTTTAATTAATGCAAATAACTGATTACTTGTAAAAATGGAATCTTTAATTAATGCAATTGCAAAAATTTCACGAAGGAAAATCACAACTTAAATTATGGAATGTAGATGCTAGTTTTTATTATTGTGAACCTGAAAATGTTGCATATTTTACATTTATAAATTCATTGCAATAATTTCTGAATTTACAGTATAACAAAACATCATGAAAATAAAATTAAACAGATTTGTAGGATCTGAATGTTGCTTAGCTAAAAAATTATAGTTGAGATATTTGTCACAGAATTAATAGACTAGATTCTATGTCGCTTCATACTTTGCATTGGTACAAAAAAATAAATAGAAAATAAAATACCCTAATTTTATATAACCTGTATACAGTGGATTATTTTTTTTCTGGGTACCAATTTCGTGGATTCATAGATATTTGATTTCGTAGTTTTGCCAAAGTCTGCATACAAGTCTAGAGAAAATTTATACTTTGTTAATATTTAAAATTTGTGGTTCACCTTCATCCACAACAATTGGTTTCTAACAAATAATTATAGATTATCATTGGTCATCTCAACGAGATTGATTTTCTCGCTTGAGCCGGTACGGCGAAAGTGAGAAAAGCAATAGAGTTGAGATGACCAATGATAATCTGTTTATCGTTATTTTACCTATGACGACGTTGTTAATTTCATTGACAATGGCACGTGCGCCCTTAGTTTCTAGCGATAATTTTTCATATCACTCTACTGTGCTGAGAAAGGAAATTATCAGTCAGTAAGATCAAAGGAAAATTTCGTAAAATAGCGATGATAATTAATCAAAGTACATTATTTCAAAATCTGGAAAATTTTAATTTTTGAAAGAGTCAGTTTCTTTTTTTTTTTATGAACAAAAATTAAATAAATGGGAAATGTGTCCATAGGACACAGATGATGCCCCGCTTGAATATAACATTATAAAGGGACATAACTTAAGAACGGAAAGAATTACACTACCCCAATTCGTACATGATCTGAGTTTTGTGGTTATAAGCATTGTGTATAATTTTCATAACATTTGGTTAAGGCAAACTAAAGTTAGAGAACAGAGCCAATTTCAGGAGGTACTGACTTGCAGACAGATGGACGTAAAGAAGGACAAGGGTAAAACTAAATGCCCCCATCCTCTGCTGTGGGGGCATAAAAACTTACTACTGGAATTATTAATTCACATATAATTATGTAAACAAAATAAAATTATACTCAAAAATTAAATCTGAAGCAATTTGTCTTCTAGATAATGAATACCTCTTCTTCAGCTTGTATAATCCTAGGTAAATGTTTCCTAAGGAAGGCACACCCCAGGAATCTCTCCAGTGGTGACACAGCACACACAGCTCCAGCCACCATGCACGGGGTGAGGAGAATATCGAAGGCTTCATTAGACAGGAGTGTTGGTATTGAGGCTGCCCATGCCTTCTGTGGTAACATTCTAGATGAATGACTCAGCTGTACTGTAATATAAAAAAAGAGTATTAAGAATTAGAAGAGGAATGACAGAAAAATAATAGTATTCAGGGATGGGGTAATCTTGATTTGTAATCCCTCATCAGTGTAATTGATTATATATTTCCAAGTAATCGAGAGTCATCTGTAATCGTCCATTTTTGATACTTGTAATTGTAATTTTATCGATTAAAGCAAAAAATAAGCTGTAATAATCTACCACTAATTGATTACTTTAGTTAAATAGTTTGATGAATTGAAACCAAG